CATGGCTGCAGTCACCATCTGCAGTGATTTTTGGAGCCCCAAAAAATAAAGTCTGACAGTTTCCACTGTTTCCCCATCTATTTCCCAAGAAGTGATGGGACCAGATGCCATGAACTTAGTTTTATGAATGTTGAGCTTTAAGCCAACTTTTTCACTCTACTGTTTGACTTTCACCAAGAGGCTTTTCCTCTTCACTTTCTGCCATAAGGGTGGTGTCATCTGCATATCTGAGGTTATTGATATTTCTCCCGGCAATCTTGATTCCAGCTTGTGCTTCTTCCAGCCTAGCGTTTCTCATGATGTACTCTACATATAAGTTAAACAAGCAGGGTGACAATACACAGCCTTGTCGTACTCCTTTTCCTATTTGGAACCAGTCTGTTGTTCCATGTCCAGTTCTAACTTGCTTCCTGACCTGCATATAGGTTTCTATAGAGGCAGGTCAGGTGGTCTGGTATTCCCATCTCTTTCAGAATTTTCCAGTTTATTGTGTGTTACTAACCACCTTTAAATTCTCTGGGGCCTCAGGGTCTGTATCTGTATAATGTCTCTAAGCTTTGAAGACCCTTGCTAGAAATTCTGAAAGACCCTCATTTCGGTTCCGTTTTATCTCGTACTTTATTAAAGCTTCTTCATTTGTGCATCCCTCTTTGAATCAATCTCAAATTTTGGCCTATCCCAGCATTCACATCCCACTTAGCATGTGCTATTGACATAGCCATGCTCACGGCCTCCCACGCCAGCTTTCCAGGTCTACAGCACGGCCTCCTCATGAGCTTTGTCCAGCACCATTCTGTGATCTTCTGAAATGAGAAGGGTATTGAATGAGTTCTGAATTCAGTATTGACACCTGCCCAGGTCGGATTTGGAGTTTAAAAAAAAAAAAAAATGATGAAAAAAAGAATTCTTCCTTTCTCTTTGCTTTGTCTCAGTAAGTTGGTATATTGTTCTTCCAATTAAATAAATCTGAAGTTGAAAGTGAGACTGGACCCAGATCATTCCCATCGGCTGCCTGGTCTCAGCATTCACAGCCCCAGTGGGGACTTTCCTTGGTGGACATTGCCCCATCTGAGTTTGTGCAGCTCCCTGGCCCAGTCAAGTGACGGGCATGAGAAGTGCGAGATCACTCGTGGGCCCCTCGGAGACCAGAGGGCCCCAAGCCTGAGGCTGTGCTCAGACAGTGGAAAGAGCAGCAGCCGCCTCGCATAGGGTCGACAGCAAATCCCTCTTTGCATTAGGACTAAGCAAAACAGGTTTCTCTGCCTTCCTTCCTGTTGGACCATAACCTGACATCTTTGCACAGGTTTATTCTGATACAATCACTGTACCTACGGTACTTCATCCCATTTTTCTTCCTATTTACAAAGTAAATCCAGTTGCAGAGGGACATTGTAAATGCAGGATCCATTTACAGGCCATTTTGCTCAGGAGTCTACAGGATGTTGTGGTCATGCTGTGTTACCAAAAAGTACCACCACTTTCTTTTCCATGGATTCGTAACTGAAAGTCTCCCAATTTTGGAAAATGCAGCCTAGAGGGCTGCCAGGGGGAACAGTACTTCCTGTTTTGAAGGGGCTTTGCTTCCAGATGGTCCCAATAATGAAGTTTTTCTAAGGGTCCTTGCTGCCATTACCAAGCTCAATCCCCAAGTATCAATTCTTTCTTTAATTATTTACTTATTTTTGGCTGGGCTGGGTCTTCATTGCTGCATGCATGAGCTTTCTCTAGTTGCAGAGAGCAGGAGCTACTGTATGTTGTGGTGCACAGGCTTCTCATTGCGGTGACTTCTCCAGTTGTGGAATGCAGGCTCTGGGGTGCTCGGGCTTAGTTGCCCCATGGCATGTGGGATCCTCCCAGGCCAGGGCTTGAACCCATGTCCCCTGCATTGGCAGGCGGATTCTTTACCACTGAACCATCAGGGAAGTCCCCCCAACAGGTGATTCTGAACAACTGAAACAATCAAATGAAGATGGACAGAAATAAGCAAGACCCAAACAAACATGATCAGCAACCAAAAACCCCTGGCCTCCAACCCAGGTACAGGGTACCTCAGCAGCTGTGACCTTTTGTATTGTCTGCCAGAATCCCTCCAGGTAGACAGGCCCCCAGCCTATGACCTGGTCAGGATTATCAAACGGTTTAAGCACTGCTAGATTTCTTTAACGCAGTTACTCACCCACAAGACATCTTCCAAACCAGCTGCTGAGAAATGAAATGTCGGTGGCACCTGGCAGGGAGAGTCGGGGGAGGTCCTGGAACAAACGGACCAGGCAACTGCTTAGACCCGTCCGCGGGCTCTCAGTACCAGCCAAGGGCCAACAAGCATAAGGTCCACCTGGTCCCCTCACACCTGGCTCTGCAAACGTGTTACTCAGTCAGCTTTGTCCTGCCGCATCGCACGGAGCGCCAAACGCTGAGATGCCGGGTTTGGGGACAAAGAGTGGGTTTATTCCAGCCAAGAGAGGAGATGGGAAAACAGATCTCGGATCTCGAATCTGCCTTCCAGAAAGGGAGGGGCTCAGTGTATGTACAGGATGAGAGAGGCAGAGCTGGTAAGGGATGGGGAGAGGAGACTGGAAAGAGGGGCAGGAATCCTGCGCAGGTGTAACTAAGCTACGAGGAGGTCGTGAGAGCGGGCACCCACTCACATTGGAGGAGGTGGAGGGTGGGTGGATCCATCCAACCTTAACCGGCTTAGCTGAGGCTTCAGGGTCCTAGAAAATAACCCAGGCAGACACTGTTCAGGCTACCTGCTACTTAGGAGGACACCCAGGTGTTAAAACAACCTTGATTAGTGGAGACAGGTGAAATGGATTTGATCAATCATCACGTATGGTTTCAAAACCACTGCGTCCTGTGTCTGTAAAGAGCAAGGCCATCTTTGCTTAGGTCTGTGGCCCAGTTGAGTCAAGTTCCCACTTGGAAACCAAGCAAAGTGGACAGAGTTAGTGACACTCCTAATTGACTTAGGTCTGGGCTCCTGAACCAAACATTGGCCAGGGTGCTGGGACTGCACGGTGTACGATAGGCTTAGATGTATCAGGTACCTCCCAGGTTATCACTGCTCACCCTCACCTCAAACTGCCAGAGGGTGTCACTGCCAGACCACATGGCTGCCCCACGGTGGCCGTAGGAGGTTGGAGCTTATAGGGAGAAGCCCAGTATCCCCGATGATTCCTTCGCCTGAACACACACCCATACCATACAACCCAGTAACCCTACTCCTAGATACTCAAGACAACTGACAGCCTGCTTCCACACACAGACTTACATTTGAATGTCCATAGCATTGTATTCATAATGGCCGTAAACTGGAGATAACCAACTAGAGAGATGATAAACAGATTGTGACTTACCCCTACACAGAAAGGAACTACTATCAGTAAATGTGGCAACCTGAACATGTCTTTAAAACCTTGTGTTGGCAGACTCCCTTTGTCTCTTCGCTCACCCGCCCCCGGGAGTTCTGCCAGAGAGCGACCGTCCAATAAAGGCCTTCATCAACGGTCAAAAAATAAATAAATAAATAAAACCTTGTGTTGTTGCTAAAGCAGCAGACCCAAAGAGTACATAATGTCCAGTTCTGTTATGTGAAATCCCAAAACAAGCTAAACTTAATTCGCCTGGGGCTGGAGGTCAGGAAAGAGCACAGACCACAGACAGACATGAGGGAACTTCCTGGAATGTTGGAAATACTCCATGTCTTGACTGGCAGTGGTTTGGGTGCCTACTGTCTTCAGAAGGTACCCTCTTGATTTTTTATTTTTGGCTGCACTATGAGGCCTGCGGGATCTTCGTTCTTGACCGGGGATCAAGCCCATGCTCCCTGCAGTGGATTCTTAACCACTGGACAGCCCAGGGTGGTCCCAAAAGGTACTCTTGAGATGAGGGCATTTTCTTCTTTGCAAATTACACCTCAATGAAGTTGACAAAATATACTTTTCCTGGTGACAATATGGACTCTTTTAGACAGTGTCTCACCAGGAAAGCTGGTAAAAACCTGACTTGGGGGTCGGTACCTACCCACTGCCCATCTCAGGATGAGTTGTGTGTGCTGCACACAGGTGACTTCCACAAGCGAGGTGTCCACAGCTCAGAAGCTGCTGTGACCTGCTGGGTCAGCCTGTATCAGAGGCTGTTCTCCAAAGCTCCGAGAAACAGGTGGGTGCTAGTGGCAGCATTAGTAGTGTGGATTTCAAACAAGAGCAGTTGGCAGGGCCTGGTGGGAAAAGAGCCTAGAAAAGTTACTCAAGAGGAATTCCATGCAGACCAACCTGCTGTGTAACTTTTCCAGCCTCCATTTAGTAGAAAGAGAAATACATGCTCTGAAGGTGAGGTGAGGCTGAAACTTGTGAAAACATATCTTGATGTAAGAAATAATTACAGGATGTAAGAACAGGCATTCCAGTCACAGGAACCCTTTCTAAAACTAGTAGTTCTCAAGCCAGGCTGCACATCAGAATCTTTTGGACCTTTTAAACATTTCAATTTCTCTTTTTATCAAAGTAGTACACAAATACAGGATTTTTAATTAATTAATTTTTTTATTTCTTGGCTGCATGGTACAGCAAGAGGGATCTTAGTTCTCTAACCAGAGATCGAACCTGAGCCCTCGAAGGGGAAGCTGGAAGTCTTAACTCCTAGACTTCCAGGGAAGTCCCAAATACGGTATTTTTTTTTTTGAAGTGTATATTGTTTTATACTAATAGGACTAAAGGGTGTATATTTACAAAAAAAGAACAAACATCAGTCCCCTTGTAATCTCACTCCTGTTCCTTAGAACAGCTTTTTAACCTTAAGTGTACAGCTTGATGAATTTTTACACGTGTATCCACCTAACCTCACCCACATCAAGATCCAGACCATTCCAGTATTCTCAAATACTCACTGGCACCTCTGCCCAGTTAATACTGCCTTGCCTCAAGACAAGTACTCTCATGACTCCTGTCACCATCAAATAGTTTTAAGGTGACCATCTGAAATGATTTTTGCCACTTCATCTAGTGAAGTGAAAGTCGCTCAGTCGTGTCGGACTCTTTGTGACCCCATTGGACTATACAGTTCATGGAATTCTCCAGGCCAGAATACTGGAGTAGGTAGCCTTTCCCTTCTCCATGGGATTTTCCCAACCCCGGGATCGAACCCAGGTCTCCCACATTGTAGGCAGATTCTTTACCAGCTGAGCCACCAGGGAAGCCCATTTCTTCTAGTACTTGTCTCCATAATTCCAAATAACAAGTGTACGCTGCTATTCCTTGGTTTGCCAACTTTGGACAGTAACTAGGAGCTTCCTCCTCTGGTAGATCAAACTTCACTCGTTTACTCTCCTTCCTTACCCACTGAAGCGGCAAAACTCTGAGGTTTCTACACCGCAGCCTCACACCACCCACCCTGGGCACCTGGGTCCTTGAAGCACTGCAGGTGAGTCTTAAGTGGCATTGAGCCCAGAGGCCCCAAGCCGGTGGTGACCCCGAAACTGACGTGAAACCAGCCTGCCAACACCAGAACGTTCCCCGAGAAGGGCTCTGAAGAGCTAAACTGGGACACGTCATCAAGCTCTGGGCTAATTTGTAGTTGGAAGGAAGTCATGAGAAACACCAGCGTGTTTCTAAGATTTTTATTGCTTGTCGGGTGCGTTCTCAAGGCTCTCCACCCCTTTCTCCCAGGCAGCCACACACTCTGTACAGGCTCTTAGTGTAACTCAAGCTTTCTCTGAGGAGTTCGGGCGCCGGGTCTGCCTTTAAAGAGGAAGGTTGGTTTGCGCCTGATTGGCACCATAAGCAAGGGCAGGTAGTTTCTTTCCTTCAGAGAAGCCTCTCCAGCCCAGAAGGGCCTCCCAGGGGGTGCTAGTGGTATAGAATCTGCCTACCAGTACAGGAGGTGCAAGAGACGTGGGTTCAATCCCTGGGTCGGGAAGATCCCCCGGAGGAGGAAATGGCACCCCTCACTCCAGTATTCTTGCCTGGAGAATCCTGTGGACAGAGGAGCCTGGTGGGCTATAGTCCATGGGGCCGCAGAGAGTCAGACACAACTGAGTGAGCCTGTGTGCATGCTCGTGCACACACACACTTTCTCTCTCCCTTCCCCCCACTTTGCTGCCATGCCCTTCAACCCGAAGACCCCTCACTGAACCTCAACTGGGGGGCATCTCCAGGCTGTGTCCCCGTGGCTGTGAGAGGCAGGGCTGCCTCACGCCTTCCCACATTTCTGATTCCTTTTTCTCAGACCCAAAGCTTTGCAGCGACTTCACCAACCAAGAGGGGGTGCTCCCTTGATTCCCCCTGGATGGCTCTGTCCTTGCCACGTCCTCTCAACCTCTGGCATCAGCTGGGTGGAAACCCCGCCAGCAACCCCCCCCCGATGCTGGTCTGCACAAAGAACCTTACTCTCTGCCGGCTCCCTGGGCAGGACCTGCTTCCTCTCTCCTCCAGGGCGGCCCCTTCTCCTGCCCCATCCTCCACACGCGGTGTATGTGTCTGACCGCCTGGAAAGGGTTTTTATAGCAATTGCTGCCAAATCCCAGGCATGAAATAGGAGCCTCCCTCCGTGGGCTCGAGGAGAACCCAGGCTGGGATCACCTGTGAGTCCTCTGTTCTCTGAAAGGGCATGCACCTGTGAGGCAGCAGATATGTGAGAGAATGGGGAATGGCTGGTTTAACGAGGGAGAAACAGGCTTCGAATGCTTTAAAAAAAAAACAAAACACAGGGTCACAGCAAATGCACTTCAGCAGCTGGAGATCCAGTGGGGGGCTCAGCCTCAGGGCCGCCACGGCTCTCCTCTCCCGCGGACCCCATCTTCCTGCCCCGGGACCCACTCCCTGGTTCGCTGAGGCAGGACCGTCGAGCACCAAGCGGGGAGACCTGGGCACCCGGGTCCAGGGAGGTGGCTGCCCCAACTCTCAAGCTGGCCTCCCCAGGGGCCGCATGCCCCCAGCAGACTCAGGGCAGGCGGAAGCCCAATTCATTTGGTCCCCTTGGCACAGACCCAGGGTCTGGGGGAGGCACAGTCTGAAGCCACCAGCTTGCCCCCCTCCAGGCGCCCGCACTCGAGATCCGGCTGGTCCTGGTCTTCCTCTGGGAGCCTGAGGGAGGATGAGAGGACAGAGAGGCCTTCAGGAGCACGGGCCCTCCTGGCCTGTGCGGCCGCTGCCTGGGTGCTGCTGGGGCCGCCGCCCGGAGCCCGGGGTCGGGAAAGAGCCCTGGGGCAGGAGCCAGGAGGCCGCACCCCCTCCTGCCCAGGTGTCAGCCGGGTGGCCCTGGGCAAACCACCAAACCTCTCTAAGAGGCGCACCCCTTATCCAGAGAAGGGGGTGACAGTCCTTGGGCAAAGGCATGGGGGACCCAACAAGGTATGGGGTGAAGGGGACTAAGTGAAACTGAGAAACCCATCCTAGGAGGGGGATGGAGAAGGGGCGGGGGGTGGGAGAGGACTCAACCTGGGGACAGGTGAAGGGGAAGGCTTCCGGGTCCCTCTGGTGCTGCTGTGATGCCACGCTGGTCACATGGGGGGCCTGGTGCTAGCAAACTGGGGACAGAGAGGCCAGCCACCCAGGCCCACGGTCACTCACAGCTGGGGTGGCAGGGGGGTCCCGTCGATCCAGTGCCAGCCCTGGGGGCCTCGTCGGGCTCCCACCCAGGAGTACTTGGTGACCGGGTGTCTGCTCAGGAAATCCTGAGGGAGGAAAGCAGCGGGTCATTCTCGGGTCACTGGTACGGCTCACCTGGGCTTCCATCCACCTGTCCGATCCCCCCACCCCAGCTTCCACAAGTCCCCAGCTCCCCAAGCCAGAGACGTGACTCATCTCTCCCCAAATGCCAGGAAGTGGGAAGCTGTATTGGATGCTTGCTGGTTAACAGGCACTGTGGTCAGGCCTGGGGACCATAAACGGGAGCAACCCCCGCTCAGCCTTCAAGAGGAGAGTGGATGTGATCCTCCATCCCCACGAGCAACGCACAATGGGTACTGAGCAGGAGGAGAAATGAGGAAGCACCGAGAAGACGGTGAAAGGCATGGGGAAAGCTGGGAGCCTACAAAGAAACCCAGGTGATAGATACCAAGTAGCCTTGCTGGGCGGGAGGCTGCAGAGGTGGGTCAGAGAACAGACAGTTGCCAGCAAGAATAATAAACTACATTACATCCACTCGGGAAAGTATTGGTACGACCACTAAAGGGGACTTCTTGGGGTGCACTGGGTAAGAACCTTCCAATGCAGGGGGAAGAGGGTCCGATCCCTGGTTGGGGAACTAAGATCCCACATCCAAGGAGCAACTAAGTCTTGAGAACCACAACTGCAGAGCCCTCATGCTCCAGAGCTTCTGCTCTGCAATGAAGACCCAGTGCAGCCAAAATCAATAAAAGATGTTTTAAAGAAGGACCATTAAAAATAAGGGTGAGTGTGAAATCCATGGGGCAACATGGGGAAAAGTTATAGTATGTGAGGGGTTACAGTCCATGAAAAAGCTGAATTAAAGTTGTGGCCTGATAATAAGAATAAAAAAATGTGTACACCTGGACACAGACACACGAGGAACAACAAAAATCAAAACAAGGGTGTTCAGAGAGCTGTTGGAGACGTTTTCTTTTAAATACTTGTCCTCAAGGTCATGATGTTTTTAGCAATGAATTAAAGCAAAAAAACTGTGTTTAAAAATGTTGAGGGGGCAGAGTGGGAAAGAGGCTGAAGAGGGAGGGGATGTATGTATATTTAAAGCTGACTCACATTAGAGTACGGCAGAAACCAACACAACATTGTAAAGCAATTATCCTCCAATTTAAAGAAAATTCTTCAACTCGAAAAAAGATGTCTCCATATCCTAAGCCCTGGTGTAGGGGACTGGAAGGTGGAAGGGTGGGGCAGCTGTCCACGCCAGCCCAATCTTTCCAGAACATAAATTATGCTATGTCACAAGAGTGGTATCATGGTTCCTAATGCTCAGATGGGTAATTCCACTTTGGGGAAGAAATCCAAGAACAGAAAGAGAAAATGAACATTCTAAAAATTTCCTGCTGCTATTTATAAAGATAAAATGGAAACCACCCAAATGCTCAGCAGTCAGGAAATAACTAGGCAAATTATGGGATATCAACATGATGGAAAATTACAGTGCTCTTAAAGATGACAGGCACACCGAACACGCAGTTAGGCAAGAAAATGTAAATATGAAATAACGCCAAGTGGAAAAAAGCAGACCATGCCAGCAAGCCCATGGCGCTCACCACGCTGAGCAGCACACACATGAGTGATGACAGGAAGTGGCCTGGCATACATCTGACATAGGCTTAGTTCCTCTCTACCAGTGTTCAGGATGACAGAGACAAAAGTTCTATGTTTGACCTTGGGGATTAGGAAGCAAGCGCGGGGGCTTCCCTGGCGGTCCTGTGGTTAAGACTCTGCACTTTCACTGCAGAGGGCGCAGGTTCAAGCCCTGGTAGGGGAACTAAGATCCAACAGGCTGTGCAGTGTGGCCAAAAAAAAATAAAACCCACAGAAAGGAAGCACAGAATGATGCCTGCCCCCTTGATGACACTCCTATTTGATGACACTCCTATTTGTCCTTCAGGCCTCAGTTTAAAGGTGACTTTCTGTAGGGACACTGCACTGAACCCCTCCCCTGGATCACCACAACCTTCATAGTTTGGAGCGCGGTGTGAGACACCGAACTTGTCAGTTCTCTGTATCAGTGAACTTGGTGAGGACTGGGGGCCTGCCCTATCGATCACTGACCGTGAGAGCCCAGCACACAGCAGACCAGCCCAACAAAATGCACCCCCAGCCCCCATGTCCCTGCCAATAACCAGCAAGGGCCACAGGTAACAGGCGAGCTGTGAGGCCAGCCCTGCACCCAGAGGTGTTGGTGCAGACCCACCCCCCACCCACCCCTTTCAGGAACATCAGCTGGTCAACAGCTGGGAAAGGAACCTGAAAGAACTTCCAGACTGAGGGGTGGCAACCTCACCCCTTCTTAAATCCCAAAGACCAGAAGACCAGACTGCACAAGGCACACACAGCCGTTCCTGGGCTTTTCATTTCCTCTCTGGCTGGACTCCACAGGCCAGGCCCAGGGGCAGGGCTGGGTGGGAGCTTTGGAGGGGATGAGAAGGAACCTGGGCTGGCTTTGAGCTGTGAGTCAGAGGGCAGGGCAGCCCTAAGCATCTTGCAACTGTGGCTGCAGCAGACTTGGGCCTCCCGCTACCCAGCCCCAACCTCCTGGGAGCAGTCACTGCCTGATCACCAGATCTCGGAGCTTCTTCCAGTGCTGAGAAGGTGGCTATCACTGCAGAGGAGAGCTTTGGGGCCTGGCCGCCCCTTACTCAAATTCTGGTTCTGTGACTTGCAAGCTACGTGACCCTAGGCAAGTTCCTTGAGTTTTCAGAGCTTCAGTATGATCCTCTGTAAAATGGGGGAGATGTTTGAATGAGGCCTGAGATCATGTCCACAAAGCCAAGGGCGTGTAGTACACACTCATTAAATGAGTCTCCAGTCTGCTGGGTGCTGTGTAAAGCTTCATGTCTGGCCCCAACATACACGACCTCATCTGATGCTTGGCATTG